GCGCTTCCGCCCTAGCCCTAGACCTAGCCGACCGTCGCTAGCCGCCTGTAGTCGCCCGTCGCCGCCTGCTAGCCGACCTTAACAGCCTGTATCCTCGCGCCCGCTAGCCCCGCGATCGCCAGCCCCGCACCCATGGGCCCCGAGCTCGCCAGCCCAGCGCGTGCTGGCTCCAAGCCCGCCTGCCCCGCGCCCACTGGCCCTGCATTCGGCAGCCCCTCGCCGCCGGCCCCGTGCTCTCTGACCCCGCGCCCGCCAGCCTTAGCACTCGCCAGCCCTGCGCCCGCTGGCCCCCGTGCCTGCTGACTCCGCGCCCGCCATCCCTGCGCCTACTGGCCCTGCGCCCGCCAGCTCTGCGCCTGCTGTCCTCGCGCCCGCCCGCCCGCGCCCGCTGGCCCTGAATTGGCCGGCCCCACGCTAGGTCGCCCCGCGCCCGCCAGCCTTGTGCTCACCAGCCGCATGCTCGCTGGCCCCGCGCTTGCCGGCCCCATTGCCCCCGCCTTGTGCTCATGCCGGCCCCAGCTCTGTCGGCCCCCGCTCCGCCGGCCGCAGCTCCGCCGGTCCCAGCCCGCCCGGGCCCTTGGTACTGCCGAGCCGCGCTGTCCCGCCGACCTTGGCTCCTCCTCTGAGCCGGCACTCCCGTCGGCAAGCTCCACCACTCTCCATTGCACTCCACCGCTCTCCACCGCACTCCACCACACTCCACCACTCTCTATCGCTCTCCACCGTTATCCACCGCACTCCACCGTCCTCCGCCGCGTTCCTCCTCCCCCGTCTGTGGCAGTCAGCTGTTGCAGCCGTGGTGATGGCAGACTCAGTGCTCCGCCTGGACGCAGATGGTCGGGCCGTTGATATTGAGGCGTGGCTTGTCGACCTCCGCCACCAGTTGACCGGTCAGTGCCAGGACGGCCACTCCCTGGCCGTCCATGTCGGCGGTAAGCTCCCCTGCCCCGACACACTCGCTGCCCTCCTTGACTCCCCCACGTCTGCTGAGTGTGAGGCCTTTATAGCTATTGAGCTTGCCCGCGGTGTCTCGGAGTCACGCGACACCGTTGCACAGCTTGCCATTAGTCACGCCCCCCCCTGATTGAGCGTCCCCGCTTTACCACTGCAGCAAATGCAAAATAATACTTAGATGCAGTCATTGCGCGCTATTCTACTCCCTCTTCAGCCTCTCCCGGCCGCCTGATCCTCCCCATGTTGTTCCCCGATCTTGCATCCTTTCCCATTGTCGTTGATCTCGCCACTCACCTCCGCGCACTTGAGACCTACCGCGCGGCTAGCACTGAGGCACAGCTCACTGCCTTCCCGCCGCCACTTTGCACTACCCTTAAGCTCACTGCCACACACCTTCCTGACCGCCTAGCGACTTCCTGCGACCACTTTCTTAGTCAGAACCCCGGTGACCTCACCCTTACCGCCTTCGTCATAGCCCTGTCCGCGATAGAGACCCGCCAGCGCACTATCGCTCAGTCTAGCCGTAATGCGGCGGTCCCTATCTTCTGGGGCTATGCTTTCTCTCAGTGCACTTACTCTGACATTTTTGGCGCTATCGCTGAGACAGCCCCTACTGCTGAGACCGCCGCCGCGGCCTTCGCGCAGCCGCGTCAGGGTAGGGGCCGCCGCCCCAAGGGAGGGCGTGGCGGAGGGAAGGGTAGTGGGGGTGGTAGGGGTGGTGGCAGCGGGGGCGGGGACGGTGGTGCAGACAAGGGGACCGACGCTGATGCCCTGGAGCAGCAGCAGTAGAAGCAGCAACCCCAGCAGTAGTCGTCGTGGGGACCCCCGCCGCCATGGTGGCCTAGCGGTGCTAGTGGTGGTGGTCGTCGTGGTGGGGCGCGCAGCTCGGTGTCGGGTGGTGGCTCCAGTGTGGTCACCTGCCAGTACGAGCTTCAGTCCGGCCCCCATCACGGCACCATCTGCGACCATCTTGGGCACACCGCCTCCCCCTGCTACTGCCGCCTGGACGACCTCGTCAGTTTCCGCTTCGGCCCTGCGTCGGACCCCCCTGACTGGTACAGCCTGGTGCGTTTCCGTAACCTTGTTTTTGAGCTTAACATGGATCAGATTAGGTCTGCTCTGTATGCCATGTATGCTGATGACTCTAGTGTGAGTGGACCCTATTATCCGGTGTTGCCTAGTGTCAAAGTGTCCACTGTTTGTATTCTAGGTTCCCTTGCTGCGTCAGGCGTAGAACCACCTGCCTTGTTTAACCTCGGCTCCACCCTAGCTCCTCTGCCTGCGGCCGCTAATGCCATGCTCTCGTTCACGCTAGACTCTGGTGCGTCCGCCTGCTTCTCTCACGACCACACTGCGCTCACGGAGCTTGCTGCCTGTGAGAGTACGACACCGTTACACCACTTGGCTTTTTTCATATTTCATCTTCATTTCATTCCTCCTTTTATCTCATCTCCTTTTGCCTCATATTCCCCATTTTCCATTATCCTTTGGTTTCTTCCCTTATTATAATTATATCACCGACCAAGCATGGAATGTTCTAGACACGCTATCTAGCGTAATCCTCTCGTAATCTCTTCAAGCCAATAGCCTCGCGTGGCTATACGCAGGGTGATTCTATTTTCTAGAAGGGTCTATTCCTTTAGATAGGATAAACCTGGTTACCTGATGTATTCTGGAAGTATAAAAGCGCCTTGTACTGATCGATAGTGCAACCTTTCCTCGAGACATTCGATCCTGTGACACTTGGTAATCAGAGCTTTTCTCACTCGGCCGCGCTCAGCTAAGCAGCAGCAGCGGGGATCCTGCCTCGAAAAACCGCCGGGGGCGACCAATTCGACGCCGATTCTGGTAAGCACCAGCTCCGCGATTCTCGAATTACCCCCTCCGTGCGTGTTTTGAACAGGATGGCAACCTTCGACAACGCCGAGGTTACCCAGCAGCTCTTCGCGCGCATCGCAGCCCTTCAGGAGGAAATGCGAGCGGATCGCGAAGCGTGGCGAAACCAGTTCGAGCGAGTAACTCGACTCGCCGGAGCGCAGCACGAGACGACAACGGCGACGACGCAGCAGTCGCAGCAGTTTCTCGAGGCTCCGAAACCGCGCCCACCTGAGCCGTTCGATCCGAGCGATCGAAACTCCGACGCCCGCAGATGGATCGCCGGAATGGAGATCTACTTCGCAGCCGTCGGATGGAGCTCGCCAGTCTGGGACGGTCAACGCGTACGACTCGCGGCGACACTAATGCGAGGGCCGGCACTCGAGTGGATTGGCGGCAACAGTACTTTCATCCACGGTGAAGCCACGTGGCAGCAGTTCCGCGCCGACCTGCTGAAACGCTTCGAACCGATAAATTCAAGTTTTCTTGCCCGCGAAAAAATTCATCGTCATCGACAGTTCGGGAGTGTATCACAGTACACGCAGCAGATGGAAGAATTTTATAACCGCATTCCCGACCTGACCGAAGGGGAAAAAGTGCAATCGTACCTCGCAGGGCTGAAGACCGAAGTCAAACGACAGGTGGCAGCGTCAAACTACGTGAGCTACAGTGACGTCGTTTCGGCCGCGGAGCGCTTCGACATGGTCAACGCCGGAACACGACGGACGCACGTCGGCAGTACGCGACAGGGCGACCGCTCGGCTCACCCCACGTTCGCCGACCCGATGGAAGTCGACAGATTCGAGGGGCGGCCACGTCCGAAAAACACCAACTACACGTGTGATTTTTGCGGGGTGCCGGGCCACCGAATCTTCGACTGCAACAAAATGAAGGCCGCACGCGCAGAGTATCGGGCACGCAACAGTGGCGGAAATCTTCCGGCCAATCAGAAGACAAAAAACGGGAGTCGCCAGTGATTGCGGATCTAGCTGGCGAAAATAAAAAGATCCGGAAACGGCCGCGGGATTCCGAGAAAATCAACTTCGACGAAGCTGATTCGACGCGAGAAGGAGGAAATGATGGGGGAAAATCTCCACCCCACGACCAGTCTTCGCCAGGGAAATTCGCCGAGGAAAAATCAGACTCCGCGAAAAAAGACTCTGCCGAGACAGGGAAACTCCTTGAAGACCCAAGAAATTATAAGAATTCGTTAAAGTTATCTTATAAAGATGCTTTAATGAAAACTTATGATGTTCGAGGGGCTAGAGCCTTGGAGAAAATTCGGGAGGGACTCCAAAAAAAGCGGACAGCTGTGGAGATCATACCGGTACCGGACAACTTGGGGACCAAATTAAGGAGTGTGGAAAGAAGCCGACCTTTCCACGGAGTCAACGTCCTCTCCCGACACCAGCCCACAACGACTACCCGCTCCCCAGGGAAGACGTCGGTGGAGCTGAAGCAGCTCAAGAGGAAGCTGGGGGTCTACAAGAAGCTGCACAAACCCCGAACTCCTCCTACGGATGCATCCAGTTCTTCGGCATCAGTGACGCGCACAGTCGTCAAGGAAACTCCGGGCCCTGGAGAAGAGCCGTTCTCCAAGCAGCCTCGGCCAGCTGCCAGCTCAGGAGTAGACAGCAATACAAAGGTGTGTACGGAATATTGGGATGTACCCTATGACCCAATCAATGAAACTATCTTTGGGTACTCCGAGCAACGACTGCCCCTCGTGCTCGAGGTCATCTGCAAAGGACGACGCCTCCAAGCACTCGTGGACAGCGGAGCGTCACACACCGTCTGCGACAAGGCAATGATCGACCGACTCCGGGAAGAGTACAAGCCTTCAGGATTCTCTGCAACGATGGTGGATGGCAGCAAGTTACCAGTACACGGCGAAGCAGTGCTACATCTACAAATCGGACCACTGCGCTGGAGACCTGCACTCCCCATCACCAACATCAAAGGGATTGACTTGATCTTCGGGCGAGACTTCCTGAAAAAATTCAACCCCGAGATCAACTGGGTGAACCGCACCGCAAGCATCTACAACAAAGGACGGAGAGTACAGCTACCCAACTGGGACGATACAGGAGATATCCCAGTGGAGACACTCGCACGGTTCGAGAAGGATGTGAAGCGGACCGACACCGGGTTCCTGGCGATAGCAACAGAGGTGGAGAATGACGGAGAGAAAGCCTCGGAAACTCCAGGAAAAAATCAAGGAATTGCTGAAGGAGTTCCAAGACATTCTTCCTGACGACCTACCGAACGAGCTACCGCCATACCGCACACATCAACATGAGATCGTGGAGGAACCAGGTTCGAAGCCGACCTTCCGAGCACCATACCGGCTCAGCCCTACGGAGCTGACCGACATGAAGAAGCAGATCGAGTATCTCCTAGCCAAAGGACTCATCCGACCATCTACTTCGCCATACGGTGCCCCAGTACTCTTCACACCGAAACCGGACGGAAGCCTGCGCATGTGCATCGACTACCGAGCTCTTAACAAGCAGACCATCAAGAACAAATATCCGATACCGCGAATCGATGACCTGCTTGACCAGCTTCGGGGAGCTACGGTATTTTCCAAACTGGATCTGCGGTCCGGATACTGGCAGATACGGATGGCGGACAACTCTATCCACAAAACTGCTTTCCGAACTCGGTACGGATCGTATGAGTATTTGGTCATGCCGTTCGGACTCACCAACGCGCCGGCAACGTTCCAAGCCGAAATGAACCACATTCTACGACCACTTCTGGACGAATGCGTGGTGGTGTACCTGGACGACATACTCATCTACTCGCGCGACATGAAGCAGCACGTCGATCACCTGCGACGCGTCTTCGAAATTCTTCGACGAGAACGATTCTACGTCAAACTATCCAAGAGCGAATTCGCCCTTGAAAAGGTCCAGTTCCTAGGACACCTGGTGAGCGCTCAAGGAGTTCACGTCGACCCCAAGAAAATCGAAGCCGTACGTACGTGGAAGACACCCGAGAACGTGAAGGAGTTGCAGCAGTTCCTAGGCTTCGCTAATTACTACAACAGGTTCGTGCCACAATATGCGAAAATCGCAGCACCACTCACGAATCTGCTGAAGAAGAACACGCCCTACAAATGGGAACCAAAGCACCAAGAAGCCGTGGAGCAGCTGAAACAAGCACTAACATCCGCACCGGTGCTCATCTTGCCAGATCCTGAACGTGACTACGTCATTGAAGCAGATGCCAGTGATCAGGCCGTGGGTGCAGTCTTGATGCAAGACCAAGGGAATGGACTGCAACCCATTGCCTACCTCAGCAAGAAACTGCACGGGGCAGAACTCAACTACCCGATACACGACAAAGAGGCCCTTGCCATTGTCATCGCCTTCAAAGCGTGGAGATGTTATCTCGAAGGATGCAGAACAACCGTCTACACCGACCACTGCAGCCTGAAATATTTGAAGACACAACCCAACCTTTCCAGGCGGCAGGTCCGGTGGATCGACTTCCTCGAGACACACTTCCACTACGACATCGTGTACAAGCCCGGCCACAAGAACAAAGCAGACGCGCTCAGCCGGCCTGCACACGTTGCCGCGATTCAGGTCGAAGGGATGAATCCACTACTCAAGGGACTCTTCACCCACGGGTACGCCATCGACCCCGAAATTTCCTTGGCAGAAAAGCGACATCTGCTACAGTGGGACAGTGACATCGCGTACCGGAAAGGATCAACAAAAATCTGGGTACCCAATTACCCTCCTTTGCGCCAGTTACTACTCGAAGAATACCACGACGTCCTGTACGCCGGACACTTCGGTAGCAACAAGACGCTCACCGGTATCGCCAAACACTACTACTGGCCCCATATGGCAGACGACGTCCAGAAATTCGTCACCTCGTGTGATACATGTCAGCGGATGAAGAGCAGCAAGCAGAAAAAGGCGGGACTACTGCAGCCTCTTCCTGTCCCAGAACAACCATGGCAAGTGGTTAGCCTGGACTTCATCACCGGGTTACCACCTACCTCCAGCGGTCATGACGCCATCCTTGTCGTCATTGACAAGTTCTCCAAAATGGGACACTTCATCCCGACACACACGACGGCACGCACCGAGGAGACAGCACAGCTCTTCGTTCGTCACATCATCTCACAGCATGGCATCCCAACCACACTCATTTCCGACCGAGACCCCAAGTTCACTAGCAAGTTCTGGAAGGAACTTATGTCTCTGCTCGGCACCAAACTCGCCATGTCCTCCGCATACCATCCGCAGACAGACGGACAGACCGAGCGCCTCAACCAAATTGTTGAGCAACTCCTCCGAGCAGCCTGCAAGGACGACATTTCCAAATGGGACTTGCACCTGCCCGTACTCGAGTTTGCTTACAACAATGCCACACATGCCGCTACTGGACAGACGCCGTTCTTCCTCTGCTACGGACGCCACCCACTCACACCACAAAAACCGACAGCATCAGCAACAGTACAACCTGCACACGACTTCATCACAACCATGCATCAGCTTTGGGATCGGACCCACAAGCGCCTCCTCGATATTCAACAGCAACAGAAGCGCCAAGCCGATCGCCATCGCAACGATCACACCATCACGGTGGGAGACCAGGTGCTTCTTGACACCCGCAACCTGGACATCAGCCACCTCCCATCTAAACTTCGACCTCGCTTCTGCGGACCTTTTCTCGTTGAAGCACAGGTCACTCCTGTTACCTTCCGCTTACGCCTGCCAGCTACCTGGAAGATTCATAACGCCTTCCATGTCCAACTTCTGAAGCCCTATCGAGATCCTAACACGATCTTCGTGGGACGTCAGCCGCCGCCGCCGCCGCCCGTCCTCGCCCAGAACGAACCCGAGTACGAGGTCGAGTCCGTGCTTGCACATCGTCGTCGTCGGAATGGCACCGTGGAGCTTCTCCTCCGTTGGAAGGGTTATGATCCTTCTGAGGACAGCTGGGTCTCTGAGACCGCCATGGGTAACGCCCGTCGTCCTCTGCATGACTACCTTGTCAAGCAGGGTGTTACTTCTACCACCCAGCTTTGCGGGGGGGAAGTGTGAGAGTACGACACCATTACACCACTTGGCCTTTTTCATATTTCATCTTCATTTCATTCCTCTTTTTATCTCATCTCCTTTTGCCTCATATTCCCCATTTTCCATTATCCTTTGGTTTCTTCCCTTATTATAATTATATCACCGACCAAGCATGGAATGTTCTAGACACGCTATCTAGCGTAATCCTCTCGTAATCTCTTCAAGCCAATAGCCTCGCGTGGCTATACGCAGGGTGATTCTAATTTCTAGAAGGGTCTATTCCTTTAGATAGGATAAACCTGGTTACCTGATGTATTCTGGAAGTATAAAAGCGCCTTGTACTGATCGATAGTGCAACCTTTCCTCGAGACATTCGATCCTGTGACACCCCGGGACCCGGTATCCGGCCTGTTCACTCTGGACACCGTGCCCCCCCCGGCTGGAGCGCCCCCTCAGGTGGCTGTGTCTACCCAGGTTGCTGCTGCCTGCTCCTGTCGCTCCCTCACTCACCCGACCCTCCTGTGGCACCACCGCCTAGGTCACCCTGCGCTCCCGCGTCTGCGTCACATGTCCCAGCACGGTCTTGTCCTTGGTCTCCCAGGTTCACTCCCCGCGTTTCCCTCCTCCCCAGCTCCACCTTGCACGCCTTGTGTCGAGGGTCGGCTTCGCCGTGCCCCTCACTCCTCCTCGTTCCCCCCTACCGCCGCGCCGCTGCAGACCCTGCACCTGGACGTCTGGGGCCCCGCCCCCGTCCCTGGGCCGCGTCGCGAGCGCTACTTCCTTGTGCTTGTCGACGACTTCACTCGTTACACCACAGTCTTTCCCCTGGAGCGCAAGGCCGACGTGCCTGGCGCCCTCATCCCCTGGCTTGTCTCTGCGCGTGTCCACCGCGGTCTCCCTGTCTTGCGTCTTCACTCAGACTGTGGTGGCGAGTTTGCCTCCGGTGTCCTTGGTCGCTTTTGTCGTGCGGAGGGCATCACCCAGACGTTCACCCTACCGGACTCCCCACAGCAGAATGGGGTCGCTGAGCGACGCATCGGTTTGGTCATGGAGGTCGCTCGCACCTCCATGGTCCATGCCGGTGCACCCCATTTTCTGTGGCCGTTCGCTGTGCGCTACGCTTCTCACCAGCTTAACCTGTGGCCGCACCCTCAGCAGCCGCAGGTTTCGCCGACCCGTCTGTGGACTGGGTCTCCTGGTGACGCGTCTGCGTTCCACGTCTGGGGCTGCCTTGCTCACGTCCGTGCCTCCGGCACGGACAAGCTCACTGCCCGCACTCTTCCCTGCGTCTTCCTCGGTTTTCCCCTTGACGCGTCCGACTGGCACTTTTACCACCCGCCGTCTCACCGCTTCTTTCACTCTCGTGACGTCACCTTTGACGAGTCCGTCTCCTACTACCGCCGCTTCCCCCACCGTGGTCCCCCGGTTACCCCCCCCCTGTTCCTGGTCACCCCTTCCCCGGTAGTCCCTGCCCCTCCTCCTCCTCCTCCCCGTCCCGCCCCCTCTGGTGTGTCCCACGTCACCCCCCTTCCGTCCGTGGACCCGGTTGAGGAGTCTTCTGACTCTGGTGGCCCTCCGGTGCAGTCCTCGCCGGCCGCCCCTCCCCAGGTGTCCCCTCCCCAGTCCCCTCCTCTGCCGCCCCTGCCGCCTCTGCAGCCCTTGCCGTCGCCGCTGCCGCCGCCGCCGCCGCCGTCGCCGCCCCCGTTCGCTGACTCTGGGGGTGCTCGTCCCGGTCGCCCTGCGGGTGGTCCCTCTGGGGGTGCGGGTGTGGAGAGTGCCGGTGGTAGCCGAGGAGCAGCTTGCGGTCCAGGTGTCGCCGTTGTGCCGCCGCAGCAGCAGTTCCCACCGGTGTCCGCCCTTCGCCTGCTCGGCCTTCCGTCCCCCGACCCTGCGTCGGTTCCTCCCCGCCCGTCTCCTCCTCTTCCTGTCTACGGCCCTGTTTTCCCTCCGCCAGACTCGTCCCCGGCCCGTCTCCCCCCTCGTTCCCCTCCTGTGTCCCCTCCCCTGTCTCCTGACCCGACTCCTCCGTCCCACGTCTGGTCTCACCGTCCCTCCCGTGCTCGTCCTGCCTCGCCTGTCTTGCGCTCCCACCCTATGTTGCTTCGTTCACACGCGTCTCGTCCTCCCCTTCTGCCGTCGCCTCCTCCGTCCTCCCTTGTTGTTGCGCCCCCCCCGCTGTCCGACTACCTTCGTGCCGCTCGTCCTCTCGTTCCTCGGGTCCTTGCCTCCCTCGTTACCGACCCGTCTGTTCCGGTCTCGTGCCTTGACGCTCTTGTCGCTGCTGTCGCTGACTTCGCCTCTACCCGCCGCCTTGACTACGCCACCGCTCTGGTCTCTGACCCTGCCTGTCCTCCGTCTGTCGGGGGTGCTCCTGCCCTTGGCAGTGACGTCCTGGAGGACCGCCAGTTCGAGCTTGCTTTCCTCTCCGAGGCTGCTCCCCATCTCTGTTCCATGCTACTAGTCCCTGAGGGTGACCCAGACGCCTTCGACATCCCGACCCCTCGCACTTACGCTGAGGCGACTTCGGGACCCTGGGCCTCGCAGTGGATAGCTGCCATGGAGCAGGAGATGGCATCTTGGAGATCCACCGGCACCTTCGTCGACGCAGTTCCCCCGCCTGGGGTGAACGTAGTCGATGGCCGCTGGCTCTTCAAGGTGAAGCGCCCTCCTGGAGAGCCGCCTGTCTTCGAGGCGCGCTATGTGGCTAGAGGCTTCAGTCAGCGCGAGGGGGTGGACTTCTTCCAGACTTTCGCTCCGACCCCGAAGATGACTACTCTTCGGGTTCTGTTACACCTAGCTGCTCAGCATGACTACGAGCTTCACTCACTTGACTTCTCCACTGCCTTCCTTCAGGGCAGTCTACACGAGCAGGTCAACCTGCGCCGTCCTCCGGGCTTTACTGGCACCTTCCCTCCTGGGACCCAGTGGCTCCTGCGGCGCCCCGTCTACGGCCTGCGCCAGGCTCCCCGTGAGTGGCACGACACTCTGCGTGCTACGCTTGCTGACCTGCAGTTCTTTCCGTCTTCTGCAGACCCTTCACTCTTCGTTCGTGCTGGCCAGACTCCGTTCTACATCCTCGTTTACGTCGACGACCTGGTCTTTGCCACAGCAGACAGGGACGCGCTGGCCTCCGTGAAGGCAGAGCTGCTGAAGAGACACACGTGCACTGACCTTGGAGAACTGCGCCGTTACCTTGGCTTGCAGATCTCCAGGGACAGAGCTGCGCGCACCATCACCCTGACTCAGTCACACTTGGTGCGCCAGGTCCTTCAGAGGTTCAGCCTTCAGTTTTCCTCTGCACAGCCCACCCCTCTGCCTGTAGACCACAGGCTCTCCGCTCCAGTGCCTGAGGAGTTGGTAGAGCCCAGCGGCCCCTACGCAGAGCTGGTGGGTTGCCTCATGTACCTGATGACTTGCACTCGCCCAGATCTCGCATACCCTCTCAGCATCCTGGCTCGCTTTGTGGCCACAGGCAGACACCGACCGCAGCACTGGTCTGCCGCTAAGAGGGTTCTGCGTTATCTTGCTAGTACATCGGGCATGGGGTTAGTGCTAGGAGGACGCAGGCCAGCGATCCTTACTGGGCACACAGACGCTTCGTGGGCAGACGACGCTGAGACTCTCCGGTCTACCCAGGGCTACTGCTTCAGCCTTGGCTCAGGTGCCGTCTCGTGGAGAGCTACTCGCTCCTCGTCTGTTACACATGTTTGACACCATGCTCTTTAGAGGGTACAAAACACTAGTACAAACTCACCCTGTACTCTCGACTCTAGTCAATTTGTTACTCTGAGATATAGGTGCTTATCAGGCGGGGTAGCGTGAGTTAACTGCTGATTATATTGAGTGGCATGCATGGGAGTAGCCGCCATAGATAACCTCTACCACGGGGGATTACCTGTCCTGTAGTTATGCTGCTTGTCTTTCCTTGCACACTGTTTTGTAAAGCTCTGAATGCCAAGTTATTTTCATTGTGCAAAGCAATTGGTGTTGAAGTGAACCACTTGTTTAGCAATTGGCATTGAATTGGCACTTCATGTCCACATAAACAGCCCCAAGAAATCATTATTTGGTGCTGTGCCACTGGAAACCTAGCTGAACACACTGGAAGCAGGAGTCTAGACTACAGGATTCTATTGTACATCGGCTGGGATAGGGCTGGAGCTCCACACACCCCTCCCCTTGTAGACGAGACCCAGGTATAGACAGTAGCGCTTGTACAGGATGTACACTCGCAGCGACCTTAGCATTCCTTCTATAACCCCTCCTCCTGAGATTCCGTTTGCTGGAACCCTGAACCAGGTACAGGCCCCACATGTAGGCCCCCAACTCCCCCTGAACTCGTTTAAATTCCATGTGCTTGAAAACGCATTTGCAGCATCGTCAGTGAAGGCCACAGCCGCGGCCGCCATCATTCGATTCGAGCCTCGCGCCAGCAGCAGCAGCAGCAGCAGCAGCAGCAGCTGCGTGACGCGACGCCACGTCTGCACTGCACAATGTACCGGTATTGTAATCAAGCCTCCGTTTGTCCTCCCAAGGGAATCACTCTCCGCTTGGGTTTGCCGTACTCCGTTTTGTCTTGGAGCTACATTCAGACGTCCATCGGCCGCACCGCCCATCGGCCACAGCCGCAACCCCCCTGCTGGCGACCAGATCCGATCCGAGTCAGCTTGAGTCGATCAGAACGCGGCCGCCGCGGCGGAAACTTGAATTGCGCGATGGCGCCTGCTGCTTCGCGGGGTAGCGGCGGTCGCAGCCCTCCGGACGCGCGGCGAGTCGAGCCTGTTGTGCAGCGACGCGGGGGTGGAGCACGAGCGCGAGAGGGACAGGGAGAGGGACCGCCTTGAGAGCGAGTGCTGAAGCGGAAGCGACCGCGAGAGGTCATAGCCGTGGCTCTCATAGGCGGCTGGGACACCTTCCGCGTAGTAGTAGCAATCTGACGGCAGGCTGTCGCAAAACGGGAGAGGCGGAGCCGCATCAGCGTCCCCGAAGAGAGCGCCGCCCATCCCGGTCGCGGCGGCGGCGGCGCCGGCGGTGGCATGATTGGTCGG